GGCAAAACTTTCATTGATTGGTTTTAAAACCGAGAATACTTCCTCTTTTCCATCTGCCTGAGTAATTTTCAGCTCTGTAAATAACTTTTCTACCTCCGTAACATAATCTTCAATGGATCTCGAGCCTTGTTGAATATTTTGAAGCTTCGTCTGTATAGCCATAAATGATTTTTTGGGTAAAAGATATTTCCTCATATCATCAATTAATTCTTGGATAGTTTTGTATGAGCTTGCAATTCGTAATTTTGCATTTTCATTCAACCGACTTTTCAAAACAAAAGTAATTAATAATACTTTACCTGGGTTGTCCAGCATGTCAGCATACATCTCCACTGAGTCTATTAGACGCCTAGTGGTGGCCTCTACACCGTCCATTACTGGAATCAAACTAAACGCCACCTTTATGTCAAAATCCATTTTGCCTAAATCTACTGTAACGGGAAAAGTACACAATTTTTCTATTTCCTCGTACTTTTGTTTTATTTTCTGATAAAGATTTATTGCCGATTTCAAATTAATATCTTTACTTTTTTTCAATAAGTAAATATATTTTACAACAGTTTTCATATGCGCTTTTTTGCTTGATCTAACTTAGTTGAAATAACATTACCCTTATATCTAGTTTGTCCTTTTTTTTACTAAATAATTACGTATTTCTACTAAACAGACATAATTTTGTTCCAAAATATCAATCATAATATTCTTAATCTAATAATAGAATTGCACAAATGTAACACATTCTACATAAATGCGAAGAAAAAAGTCCGACGTTGCCTTTTGTTTCCGTTTGGTGTCTTATTACTGAATGTCCGCGCGCGGTTTTAGCACCTTTAGAATTATAGCGTTATGAAATATGATTCCGCATAACTGGCTCTCACTGCTATTTACTATTTTTACGAAAAATTTAACAACCCACAACACTTATTTTCACTTTCACTATGCATTCACGTCTAATTACTGATTCTGGTTACCTTCTGTGCGCCCTCTGATGGATGATCTGATTCTCTGCATGGTACTCATCCCAAATTCCTGCTGGATCCATGTGCGGTGGCAGCTCCTGTACATACGCAGGCCCACATAAACTGCTACGAGTCCAATAATGGCCAGAAAAATATAGGTCACAATGCTAAGCCGCTCCACGTGGCCTCCGATTTCTTTCAACGTGGCGTCATTGTTGGCTCCAGCCGCGTTTTGGCTGAGGAAAACCTCTTCTTTTTCCACAGTTGACCGATACATTATAATATATTATTAATTAGTTATGTTAACTATACTAAAACTAACAATCCCCCTTGGCAGAGTCATCCTGGCAGGGTCGCCATGTAATGTTGGGGTTCCTAATGGGTGTTATTCAAGGAAACGACTACATTAGTTACGTACTATTTATTGAATGCGCTGGTAATAATCTAAAATAATGCATATAAGGTATAGTGCAAACTCAGCATACATACGGTTATAAAGTAGCGTACTTACTTAATAAACTAAAGGAGCATACATATTATTCTTACACTTCACTCTCTTTTTCGTAAAAATATCAATATTGTCAAAAAAATTATTATAGGTGCAACACATCCGGTTTATTGGTGAGTTTTTTGGTATATTTCGTATGAGAGTGAGAGATGAAAAATAATTTAGTGTGTCTAGTACGATATATGGGTGTGGAGAATTTGACAAGTCCAAGTAAATGCGAATTATCTAGGCGGCCGTGAATGAGATCATATAATGTCATTTGATCAAGCAATTTTCTTCTGTCTGCTAATGAAAGGAATTTATAGAATATACATCTTTCTTTGTATGTTTGATGTTGTTCTTTAATTTTGTAGTCCATAAACTTCAAAAATTTTTTTTGCAATACTTCTATTTTGTTAATATACGTATAGTATTGTGGACACCATATGTTGCTACCATACTCTAATATACTGCGAACGTAGGCATAATATAATACTTTAATACAGGGTAAGTTATTGAAAGGTTGGCATGTACGTATTAAGAAGTTTTTATATGCTTTATTTGTGATGTAGTCAATATGATTACTAAATTTAAGCTTGGAATCCAATAAGATACCAACATCTCGGATTATCTCTGTTTTTGAATTATTGATCCGTTCAATTTGTATGCATATTCAACCGGTTTAGTTTTGCGTGTAAATGTGCAAGTTTGACATTTCTTGACATTAACTGTGATTCGATTATATTTGTAATAATGGTTCAACCTGTATAAATCTTCTTGAAACTTATGGCAATCATTTAAATTGTTGTATTTTTAACTTACGAAGCAAGATGACGTGATCCACGCGGTCGAAGGCTTTTTTCGAAATCCGTGTAGATCACGTCAACCTGCCTCCCGCCATCCATATGATTGATAGTCTCTGTGATAAAATGTGTTAGGTTACTAATAGTTGATCTGCCTTTGAGGAAACCATGCTGAGATTCTGGTAAACCTCGACTTAAGGTCGGGTAAATGTAATTAAATACTAATTTTTCGAATATTTTCGCGAATATATTAAGTATAGATATAGGTCTATTATTTTCAACTTTAGTACGGGTTCCTTTATTAAATATGGGTACTACATGAGCTTCTTTCCAGATGTATGGGAAATAACCTTCCTGAAGAGATCTATTGAATAAAATGTGAAGAGGCTCAGACAATGACTTAGCACATTTGAATATAAATATAGGTGGGATTTTGTCACTACCCGGTCCCTTTTTTACATCTACTTTCTTTAGCGCTTTAAAAACATCTGCCTTGGAAACCCGAAAGCAATGTAAATGTCAGTCGTTGCTACTATAAGGTATAGGTAATGCACCATCAGGATATGAAGGAGCAGGCGGGATAAAATCACTTTTGAAAAATGAACTGAATACTTCTACAATTGCTGGGCCTTCGCTATGCGTTGTATTTTTATACATTTTATTTGGATAAGAATAAGTATTACCACGTTTTGATTTGATAAAAGTCCAGAAACATTTAGGGTTATTCAGTATGGCTTGTTGAGTAGTATCCAAATAATTATTATAACATTGTTTATTATAAACTGACGCACGCTTACGTAATAAAGAGAACATATTGTAATCCGCTAAGTTATGAAAATTTTTCCAATTTCTGTGAGCCTTAGTTTTTTCTTTTAAGATATTAATCAATGTTTTATTATACCACGGGGGTCTTTTCGTGTTGTGAGGTAGAGATATTACACTTGGTACATATTTGTCTATGCAATAATTGAGTTGTTTGTAAAAAAAATCTACAGCTTCTTCAACATGTCCTGTGTATAAATGAGTGGCCCAGTCGATTTCACATAAATATGTGTTTATTTTAACAAAATCAGCTGAATAAAACTTATTTTTCTTAATAAAAGAGCATTTGAGAGGAGGAATAGCCACATTTAAGTCAAATTCGAAGGGAGGATGAAATATATCTATCTTAGTTAAGGGTTTGTCACATAATATTATTTCTATGTCTATATTAGAGAAAACTAAATCTAATGTGTTATTGCAACTGTTTTTTATATTGGAGTATTGTCGGAAACCATGGTAGGCTATTTCGTTTATTAATTGCTCCCCTATAGTTAGTAGCTCGGTAGAACCCTGTCTTAGTATTGTATGTCCACTCTCATTCCAGTGTATATTAGATAAATTAAAATCACCTGCAATTACATAAAAGTCGCGCGAGATAATTCTACTACTAAACGATTCCAAGAACGATTTAATATCTTTTGCGTGCATTTCGTCCGTACGACGATGCTTTGACGATTTACCCGGTATATAAGTAGTTATGATATGCAGTTTTTGTCCAAGCGGGGTGTGAGGGGCATGGCGCGAGGGAACGTGTGCGCTTCGTGTTGTGAACGTATGACTCAGTACCGGTATTGTTATCCAAAGCGTCTCGATAGAAGCGCACGGCTGTTTCCACAAATCGTCCATAGTCGCATTAAGTGTACGATGAATTATGATTGCCACACCTCCACCTGATGATTTGCTTGTTTCCGTTAGTATACGATCCTGTCTGTACACAATATACCGATTATCACAGATCTCCCCATCCAAGATACATACGTGAAACCAGGTTTCTGTTAAAATAATGATGTCGTAATCATTATTTAATATTTCTAGATAAAGCGTATGAAGTTTTGTACGTAATCCCCGTGCATTTTGATAATAGACAGATATTGGTGTCTTACCTATTGTGTAAATTATCATTTTGCCTTGTTATTTTAACATATAATAAATAAAATAAATAATAGATTTTAAACATAGTTAACTCACTAATGCATATAAATAAATATACACAATGTGTATACACACATGCATATACATACTTAAATGTAAACATGTACCCAAACCTAATATATACTATTATAATTTGTATCAGCTGGTAATGATTATGACAGATAAACAGTTTAATTAAATAGAAAAACATATTATTTGATTGAGCAATTGACATTAATAGGCACAGTTTTTGTACGTGTGAGTTTAAATAAACCGACAGTATGCAAAAACCTGGGGAATGATTTGTGGATGCGTATATATTATGTGTATTGATAGATAGAAAGAAAACAAGGTAATTTTGTGATGTATAATGTAGATCGACTGCTATTTGAAATTGATAATAGTTGCAATTTGTAAATTGTATAATGGTGTTTATGATGTGTTGTGTGTTAGTGTTTAATGTGTGTGTGTATTTTTTATACAATATTTTAGAATAAAATAACGTACCTTTATGACAATAATATGACACGTTTCCACAAAGTATCCTTACATTATAAAAAAACTTGCTAAGTAGGTCTATACTAACTATTATTGTATACTTTATTTCAACTTTTTTAAAACCAATTCTGAATTGATAATAATGTGTGGTGACGTATCGTTTCGACGAACATATATTTTGCAGTTTTTTATCCAGATGTACCTATAGCCTAGCTCGGTAGCTATTTCTCGACACTTTTTATACAACCTCTTGTTATCAAGAGTTAAATGCTCGTTAACAAATATTTTCTTGAGCACCTTTTATTCACCTCCGTGCCCAAGATCTCCAGTAGTGATGCCACGATGTTTTTTGACGCCAGCAATGAGATTATCCTTATGAATACGGGAGGACATTTTTATAATTATATTGCGGGGTAGACCTTCAACGGGATCTTTCGATTGTACTCTTGTGCAGCTTTCTATAACGCAGGCGCGCAACACAACACCTGCTTTTTCTGCTCTGCTTAATACTATATTTGTTAGATTTTCATTTTTAACTTCTGGTACTCCCACCACTTCTACATTTAACTGACGTGCCCACTGCTCTTGTCTTTGGGTTTTGAAGGAAAGCCTATCTAATATCACTTGCATTTCTGTAATTTCACGACATTGAATCTTAAGTTTTTCTTCTGAACAATTTGCACGTTCCTGTAGGGTATCGATGCGCTTGGATGAGAATTCCAAGGAGGCTTGCATTTCGGTAATTGTGTTTGCCGTAGCCTGTTGAGCTGAGTGTATAGAAGTTAAAGTATCCTTAATAATTACTTGATCCTGAGAAAGAATATCTGAAATTTGTTTTAGATTACTTAGTTATTCCTTTAATGACGATACTTCACCGTGTATTTTTTTAATATTCTTCTCTTGCGAAGTTTTGAATTCAGTAAGAAAGGACATTATGCCTTTCCTAAAATCATTTAATTCGGATTTCATTGCTTCTTCTGGTTGTTTTCTTTTTGATCTTTGGAGGGTAATATTACGTTGCTGTATAACCTCGGTATCGCATTTTGCATTATCGGGCTGGGAACTAACAAGACCGACTTTGGTCGCAGGCGGAGATTTTTGCGGGTTCATTATGTATCGCAAACCAGTATTATTAGGCCTGTGATGCAGTTATGTCGAGCGTCAAGTGAGACAAAAAATTTAAGAGCCCGTGCCCTTTACTCGAGGGGGTGAGGTGTGGGGATTCACTGACTGAGAAACACTGCTAAACTGTTCACACAAATAATAACAGGCTTAAGTTCCTTAATGAATACACAAGGTTATCATCTTTACGTTGATTACTTAAAGATTTACTTTTGATTGTTGTCACTTCAGATAAAATTAGAACGACAGGAGACACGTCCGCTCAGTACAAACGCTCACGACTGTAAGTATAAAGTATGACAACGTATCTGTATTCTTATTTGAGAATATATCTCATCATATGGCACAGTCTATGTGAAGTGATCTATTCTCAAATAAGATCTCTCAAAGAAGATATTCGTGTATCTTTTTATCATCATCATCATTAAAATTCTTCAAGTCAAACGCTGAACATAAGCCTCCACCAAACAGTGCCATCAAAAGCCGGTTCAGACTCAGCTGCATCCAATAACTTCCAGCATGTCTTACCAAGTCGTTACTTTGACTATCAATCATCCTACTCCCTACTTACCGGTAAGAGACTGCCATAGAGAGAACCAAATTCCTTACTTTCAGTTGTCCGTTTTTCGAGCTATATGGCTGGCCCATTCAGTTTACTGAACCGTTGTCTTTGTGCCTAGCGTCCATAAAAAGAAATATTACTATTAGCTTTTCCAAAGCTATTTTATCAACAAAAAGTAAAGTAATTAAAAAGTTTTAATTACTCGTAAAATGGCTTCTAGCGAACTTGTGTACGAAACTAAATTATTCCTAAAATCAATTGCGTAGTCCTGACATGTTGATCTACTTAAACTTCATTGTAATTGTTTCTATCATAGTAGAGAACAAGACAGACCTATCTTTAGAATCAGACAGTTTTTATGTATTAAATTTATTAATAGAATTTCTTAGAAGACTCCATTTTTAGTTGTACTTGCCTGTACTTACAGTGGTAGAGCCACGCGGCAGCTTTGCTGTTGCACGTATGGGCCGGCTCAAACCGGGGTGGTACCACGACCTCACAGAATACCGGCGTGAAGTGGAAGCTCTGCTTCCGCGTTTCGTATGGTGAGTGCAGGTGGCCGGAGGCCCAAATCCCCCCCCCCCATCAACATGGTAGCGGAATTAAATAATGATAGACTACTCCAGGAGGGTACCAGCACACCTGGAGAATCCCTCGCTGAGCATCCACGACCATGTTTCTCCACTTCTGAGCGTAGGTGCTCAGGCTGCCCTGCGTATTCTGGGGCGGGGGGAGGCAAAATTCCGCTCAAGACTACAACTGCTTGGAGCAAACGGAGCAACAAGACCAAGGCGACCCCTGCCACGCTGTCCGTGAATTTCTGCAATATCAGGGGACTTCACTCTAACCTAAACGCCGTCCACTACCATCTCGAGACGGCGAGGCCGGCTCTGCTCTTCCTGACCGAGACGTAGGTGTCCTCTCCGGCTGATGTTTCGTATCTCTCCTACCCGGGGTACAAACTGGAACACTCCTTTGTGCCTCGGGCTGGAGTTTGCGTTTACGTCAGAGAGGACATCTGTTCTCGACGCCTCGGCAGACTTGAAGGTTCGGACATGTCCATCCTTTGGCTACACGTAGACAGCGACGACCATCCGCGCGTCTACGGGTTCCTCTATAGGTCCCATAGCGGTAATGCCGAAACATTATACGAACAAATATATAGAAACGACCGACTCTTCGACCACGTCCAAATGGCTACAGATTCGTTGCTACAACAGATCCCCTCCGCAGAGATCGTGATCCTCGGCGACTTTAACGCCCATCACGCCGAATGGCTTGGTTCACGTTTAACCGATCATGCGGGGAAATCTGTTCCATGATTTTGCCTTGGCATATGATCTGACACAACTGGTTACTTCGCCTACGCGGATTCCAGATGTGGAGGATCATGCACCTTCCCTGTTGGACCTTCTGCTGACCTCTCACCCGGACGGATATCAGATTTCCGTCGAAGCCCCCTTTAGGCTCCTCGGACCATTGTCTTGTCCGGAGTGTGGTGCCACTCACGCTGAAATCGCAGTTGCATTCTGCAGGCTGCCGCAGTGTTTGGCACTATAGGTCAGCCGATTGGGATGAGATGCGGTCTTTCTTTGCATCCTGCCCTTGGGGGCGGGTTTGCTTCTCGTCGGACGATCCCAACGTTGTTGCCGATTCTGTCGCTGATGTGGTACTTCAGGGTATGGAACTTTTTATTCCTTCCTCTGTGGTGCCCATTGGAGACAAATCCCAGCCATGGTTTGGTCGCTTCTGTAAAATAGCATCATGCTACAAGCAGGAGTGCTACCGAGCCTGGGCTGACGCATAGGCGTCACGGGATGTAAACACCAGCGCTATAAAAAAGAAGTATAATTCCGCCTCTAGGTCCTTCAAAATAGTCATTGTCAAGGCAAAGTCAGAGCACATAGGCAGAATTGGCGAGAAACTAGTTCGCCTTCCTTCTGAACCCGTTCTTCTGGTCTCTCGCCAAGGCTGTCCAGGGGAATTTCTGTCAGCCATCTCTTCCATCTCTGCACAGGGAGGACGACTCACTGGCCCATACCGCAAAGGAGAAAGCCGATCTTCTAGGCTCTTTCTTTGCGTCCAACTCGACTCTCGATGACGGGGGGAGTACGCCGCTGACCATCCCGAGGTGTGAGTGCTCCATGCCGGAAGTGCAGTTCACACAGCGCTCGGTTCGCAAAGCCCTCCTCTCCCTGGACATCCACAAGTCGAGTAGGCCTGACGGAATCCCCCCAATTGTGCTGAGGACGTGTGCTCCAGAGTTGACACCGGTTTTAACGCGTCTTTTTCGGTACTCCTACTCCCTAGGCGTAGTCCCAATATCATGGAAGACGGCTTTCGTCCACCCGATCCCTAAAAGAGGCGACCGCTCAGACCCGTCCAACTACCGGCCTATCGCTATCACCTCCTTGTTCTCCAAAACAATGCAGTCTATTGTAAATTGCCAGCTCATGAGGTACCTTGATGATCACCAGCAGATTAGTGACTGCCAATACGGTTTTCGCCGTGGTCGCTCAGCTGGTAATCTTTTGGTCTACCGAACTCATAGATGGGCGGAGGCAGTAGAGTCCAAGGGGGAGGCATTGGCCGTTAGTTTGGACATTGCGAAGGCCTTCAATCGGGTTTGGCACAAAGCGCTTCTTTCGAAGCTCCCTTCCTATGGACTTCCCGAGAAATTGTGCGGTTGGATCACCAGCTTTCTTGCAGATCGGAGCATCAAGGTCGTTGCAGACGGTGCAAGCTCCGATTGCAAGCATATTAATGCTGGTGTTCCACAAGGCTGCGTGCTATCGCCAACGCTGTTTCTTCTGCATATCAATGATATGTTGCAAACCCGTAACATTCATTGCTATGCAGACTACAGCACTAGTGATGCTCTTTACACCGGCCGAGACAATATTTCTCGAGAAAACGTCTCCGAGTGCTAGGACAAACTTGTGTCTGAAGTCGAGTCTTTGCTGAACAGAGTCTTGGGTTGGGGGCGACTAAATCTAGTCCAGTTTAACCCCCAGAAGACACAAGTTTGCGCGTTAACCGCTAAAAAGAACCCCTTTTGTTGTATCTCCTCAATTTCAAGACACTACCCTTGTTGCCTCAGCCAGTATCGGAATCCTCGGCGTTGACATATCGAGTGACGTGCAGTTTCGCGGTCACTTGGAAGAGAAGGCCAAATTGGCCTCTAAAAAAGCTTGGCGTGCTCAGCAGAGCGGGACAGTATTTCATGCCGGCATACCGCCCTTTACAGCCGTTCGGCCGCACATGGAATACTGTTCCCATCTCTGGGCTGGGGCTCCCCAGTACCAGCTCCTTCCACTTGACCGCATCCAGCGCAGAGCCGCTCGAATCGTCGACGACCGAGTGCTTTCCGATCGGCTCGATTCACTGGCACTGCGAAGAGATGTTGCATCTCTTTGTATTTTATTTCGCATATACCATGGAGAGTGCTCTGAGGAATTGTTCTGATTAATCCCAGCCGCCAAATTTCGTGAACGCACTACGCGGCAAACGTCCCGATACCATCCACACCATCTGGATGCTTGGCGGTCCACCACTGTACGTTTTAAAAGGAGTTTTCTTCCGCGTACAACCTCTCTGTGGAATAGTTTACCACCGGCGATTTTTCCGGACTGATACGACCTGGGGACTTTCAAGAAAAGAGCTTACTCCTTTCTAAAGGGCCGGCAACGCACCTGCAATTCCCCTGGTGTTGCGGTTGATCATGGGCGGCGGTAGTCACTTAACATCAGGTGAGCCGCATACTCGTTTGCCCCCTCTTCTATAAAATAAAAAAACTTAGGTACTATAGGTATTTGTGTAAGAATGTCAACTACCCCATATCATCCAGCGGATTTTGTAAGAGAATTGTTCTCAGAGGGAAACATATCAGTAGATGGGCAGCAACAACTTTCTAATAACACCTAAATATTAACAAAAAAAAATGCGATTACCAAACCTGCCTGCCAAGCGTGACAACTATGGCAAATATATTTGACTATACATGGTGGAGGTCTATGTTCAGCAGTAGGTTTTTAATAGGCTGTAACGATAC